CGCTACTTTATTAAGATCAGATATTTAAAAAATCGACTCTAGTATGCCTACAAAGTATGCTTGTTTGCTTGTTGAAAACAATGCCGGTGCCAGAAATTCCCCAATGACTAGCCCAATATCTAAAAATGGCCCACATTTACCTCAGCCCCACCATGGTTAGGGCTGAGGTAAGCAAATATTATTAGAATAACGTACTTTGCTCCATGGACTACTTTTCAAAACAATGACCATTTAGGAGTTTCAAAGGCTTTAATTAAATGATATTATAGATATCTAGAAAATACATGTAATTTTTTTTTGTCCCCAACGAATTGCAGTTTTATTCCCAATCGGGAGGGGAAGGGCATGCCAGGCCCCACTGATGAGCTCTTTCTCCCGCTGGTGAGCTACCCCTGCTGTAACTTTGGATAGCTCTGAATGTAGATGGTCTGAAGATGTACAGTAGATGGTTTAAATACAATCTTTGCAGGAGTAAAGGCTGGCTTTGGGTGGGGAGGGGGGAGGGTGTGAAAATTGATAATGTGGAACTAATTGGTTGCCTAGAAAACTCAGATTGAGTTTTTTAGAATTGAGAAAACTCATTGTATCTTTAAATTAATAGATCATACCATTATTTTTAGAAGTAAATTTTTACTGAAACTTTGAGGTACAAAGGGTTAAATAATACAGAAATTGTCACAGTCTGAGAGTGTTATTTCTGGCCATCCAGAGGTTCCCATTCTTAAAAAAATCTCATTTGGGAGGGGGAACACCTTCTCAAACCCTTCCTCCAGCTTGGTACTATAAGCCTGTCGAACAACTTATGTTTTACCAGAGTACAAGAGAAGCACACACACAAGACTAGTGATCATTTATTGTTTCTTTACGGTAAATGAAGGAGTGTAGCTAGCCATCCTATTCACTCCCATCCCCAAACAAAATCTGCCACTGCAGATTACTTGAGATCTGAGGTGTGAGTTTTCTAGATCTGAGATTTCTAAACACCCAGAGCTAAATACCTTTTCCAATGAAGACTTAATCGTCAGTTTTAGCATTTTAACACACCTAGTTGAACTAATTTTCCATCACTGGGGGAGGGGAGAGAGGGGAGAAAGGATATCCCCAGTCACACTCCTATGCCCATGATTTGTAAAAATAAATTACAACATGAATGACATTCAATAATATATGTCTAATTTGTTTACAACCTATTTTCAGAAGTATTAAATATTAAATTATTATTTTTAAAAAGTATATACAATCAGTATTTTGTGTATAACTTAAGTTTTGATATAAAATTACCAAGGCAGTATTTCTCCCGAAAGTTGTGTACCAAGCATTATACCATTAAACTTCTGTGATCAGTTTTATTGAATAACAAGCCGCTTCTAGCCCCAAAGCCTGGAATAATCGTCATAATTGACTTCGATCCACCTGGAATGTGATACGATGGGAGTGGGATTTGGAGTAGGACCGAAGTGGCTGTCAGCCAGAATGGCCACCAATAATTAAGGCTTATGGAACGATGGTGATGGGCATGCACAATTAATAATGAGTACAGTACTTTCGCTAAACACCAACACACGCAAAATGTACATAGTGAATTGAATACTTTAACAAAACATACAATGCTTTTATTTATATTAATGCATATAATAGGCCAAACAGTACTATTAAGAGAGAAGTGCTGGTAATGGGCATGCACAATTAATAATAGAGTACAGTACTTTCGCTAAACACCAACACACGCAAAATGTACATAGTGAATTGAATACTTTAACAAAACATACAATGCTTTTATTTATATTAATGCATATAATAGGCCAAACAGTACTATTAAGAGAGAAGTGCAGACGACCAGGCCAACTTTATAGTTGCTCAACATTTGAACCACGAAAACAATATAAAAATATAAGAAATAAGATCGTGTTACCACCATCATACTGTAATAATTCAACCACTGAGAATTACATATTATAATATATATTATATTATAATAAAATATAATATAGCATAGGCCTATATAATATAAGACAAAATCTTGTGCAGAATAAATTCAAGTTCAAATAGCCTAGCTAGGCCTATATCTTCTTACACTAATCTAAATGACGTTTTGTTTTGTAATTCTGAACTGACTTTTCCGGCCTATGCCAAACCACCATTTAACAATAAGCTAGGGTACTGTTAGGCCTACAGTATTGCTAAGCTCCCGTATTGTGCGTGCTTCACCTAGACCTGCCTAGACTAGAAAGGGCCCAGGCCAGGATACGAAGCACTGGCCTCGCGGCTAGCGTGTCCTCAAAAGCCACAATAAACTTAGTATTAGTCCACACTTACTACATACCACATACCATCTGTACGACTAAACCCTATAATCAGCTAAATCAGATTTGGTTTAACTAATTAAGCAATAATTTACACGTAGGCCTACAGTTACAGTACTTACATTTTTCAGGAAAATGTTCAGGATAGAGAGGGCATGGATCTGTGGTACAGATAGTAACTTCCATGTGTTGTTGTTTACCTGCGAAGCGCCACCTATGGTTGTAGAAACAAGGCGCACGTTCCTCCACGCTTAAGAGCTAATGAAATAGAAAGTTTATTTGTACAACAAAAAAAAAAAAATGTGACCTTTTCATTAATTTTGTGAACTATTTTACAACATAGCAAGTCTTAAAATTTAGCAATAATACAATGGCATTTAACCGGAATATCTGAGTGAAAATATAAACAACAATGACAACGACTTAATAGAGTTGTGTAATGACAGACACACCCCGGTGTAGATTTTTTCGTAGGCGTGTGTTTTTGCAACCTACATTCAACAATGTAAATCTATGTACTCTTTAAGATTATGTAAAATCATTTTAATTTAATCAAGTGTAAGGCCTAATATTATGTATATAATGACTTTAAACGATCTGGGGGTCGTAAATGGGCTTTAATTTCAATAGGCCGATAACAATCTGATAAATAAACAAATTAATGAAAATAGAATGCAGCATAAAGTGGTGTTTGAATGCCGTTAATATTTTCAAAAGCTTGTATATTTATACAGTTTAATATATTTCCT